AGGCGTTAATTACAGTTGAGGAAAATGTTGAGCAATTAGTATTACAGACAGCTGAATCACCACCAGAGTCTCCTCCCCCAGTAGCCAGAGTGAGAGATAAGCTTTGGCAGAGACTCACAACACGGAGGTCTGAGTGTTGAATGCTTCTCACAGGAACATCAGGTCGACCAGCCATGAGTTTTAACAGGATGGAATGTTTCTAGGAATTAGGTGATTGTTGCTGCTATATAATTTGTACTGAGATGCTTGGAAGCTCGTGGTAGCAACAAGTCAATTCCCTGGCTTGTATCCATGCTAATGCTTATCTTGAACCTTGTTTTCTTGGCCTTTGGCTTTTGGACTCTGACTTCTGACTACAGTTTGTATTTTGGCTTTGACAATTTGGCATCTGTTTTGTATCTTCCAGACTTCTGACCTTGGATTGGTTTATTGGACTTTCACCTGCTGAATCCCCTAAGAATGTGACAACTCACTAGAATAGGCTTTGTATGCTGCTAGAGCTCTCCTCTTATCATCGATGGCTGGCATCAACTCCTCCGAATAGGCTTTGAACCACTCTGTGGTCCTTTTGGTCTTCTTGCCAAATGTGGAGAAAGTGATGTCATAAACAGTGTTCTTGAAACATTCCCATCATTCAGGTGCATTTGCATCAGCCAGGCCTGGAAGGATTTCCTCAAGAGCCTGGGCAAATTCCTCCACTTTTCTTTGATCACGAGTCTTGCTGATGTCAATACGTGATCTTCCTTCTTTTTTCATGTGATACAATCTCTTTGTTCGCAGTTTTACTCTACTACACACCAGGGAACTATCAGTATCGCAATCAGCACACTGATAACTGTGTATGATCATAATACTAGGAAGGCTAGAACATTTAGTGAGGATCAAATTGAGCTGATGCCAATGCTTCAATCTTGCATGCCTCCAGGAAATTCTATGTTGGAGCTTCGTATTAAAGAACATATTGCTGACACAAAGACCATAATAACAGCAAAACTCCAGCAAGCATTGGCCATTTTCGTTCATCTTCCCAATGCCAAAGTGGCCTAGACAAGTCAGCCAAGAATTGTGATCAGCATCAACTCTAGTGTTAAAGTCTCCAAGAATGAACAGTGGCGCTCTCTCGGGCATTTTTTATAGTAGCTGACAGATTGCCGTCGAATTTGTCTTTGACTTCTGTTGTGGACGACAGTGTTGGTGCATATGCACTAATGAGGGTGACCAGTCCAGTTGATGAGTGGAGCTGCTGAGACAGGATTCTTTCTCTCCCTACAGTAGGTGGAACAATGGATCTCAGCAGAGTATTTCTGACCGCAAAGCCAACACCATGTTCCCTGGTCTCATTCAACGGTTTTCCCTGCCAGAAGAAAGAGATGTTTTTTTCTTTGACAGATCCCATGTTTGGCAATTTCATCTCTTGCAAGGCAACAATATCCATCTGATGTCTACTCAGTTCCATGTCGATGGCAGCTGTTTTGCGCATGTCGTCTATTTCCTGCAGGTCATTAGAAAAGCCAGGGGTCATTGTCCAAACATTCCAGGTGCCCAACTTTAGGGCAGAAGTTTTCTTACAGTTGTTGCATGGTGCAGGGTTATCAATCTGCTTGTCGGCTTTCACCCTAAACCCCATGCACCCTGTGAGGTTAATAGACCATGGCGAGGTAGCACCTTATTAACTGGGGACTGCCCAGCTTAAGGCAAGTGATAGCTACCTAGTGAGGTGCAATGACCTCTCCCACCGTCAGAAGTAGCCCCTGGTATCATGCTCTACACCAACTGAGCAAAGACATATAACAGGTGACTGCTGCTTCCTGTGTTGTTTCGACACTGTATGCGAAGCTGGAGTGTTCTCCCCAGAGCACAAAGCCTGGGTTAACTGGGGACTGCCCAGCTTAAGGCAAGTGATAGCTACCTAGTGAGGTGCAATGACCTCTCCCACCGTCAGAAGTAGCCCCTGGTATCATGCTCTACACCAACTGAGCAAAGACATATAACAGGTGACTGCTGCTTCCTGTGTTGTTTCGACACTGTATGCGAAGCTGGAGTGTTCTCCCCAGAGCACAAAGCCTGGGTAAAATAATATGGAGGATAGACTGTTACCCAAGCAGCGAATCCCCCCTCTCCACATCGCAGAAATAGTCCAATGGAAAGGCAAGAGCCAATACAACTGGTTCCAGTGACGTCGCAGGAGTTGCCAGAATGACACGAACTGCGTCTGAGACTCTGGCTCCAGATTTTGCCTTGAGGTTAACTCCTGAAGTCTTTTCCATCAGTGGATATACCCACAAGGCAGTGGAGGTTTGAAGTCAGAGTTTTCCTTCTCCTAGATGGACTGACGTCCAGGGCTGAACAAATCCCACCTACCCAGCCTGTTTCCTCATGGCATGGACGGCGATGGCGGCGCCTCAGTGGGGGTTTGAAATCGGAGTTTTCCCTCTCCTAGATGGGCTGCCTTCCAAGGCTGACAAGCCCCACCTACCCACCTTTAATGGATATGTTATTAGCAAATAGGATTTATGTGTATACTGTGGAATGTGGCAGAATGTGCTTGGAAAGGTAGCTGTGAATATGTCTGCACTATATAATTATAGCAGTCTGACCCCATTATAATAATCTTGGCTGCACCCTTCACCATTCTGGGATTTTTAGTTTGGTAAGGTAGATAGACTTCTATGCTAGAGAACTGTAGCACGGTGGTTCTCAAATGTTGGTACTCTAGATGTCTTAAACTTCACTCAGGATTCCCAACTATCGATCATACTGGCTGGAGCTTCTGAATGGGTCAGAAACATGCCTCCAAAACATCTAAAGTTTCAGCAATTGAAAACTACCACTCTAACTCACTTCCAGGAAATACAGTATACTGTAGTTTTCTAAGTAGCTCATCAACTAATAAATCCCAGAATTCTGTAGGACAGAGCCAAGAAAATTAAAGACTGTTTCAACCTGCTGTGTGTGTGCAGTATAGATACAAAGATAGTAAGATAAAATACAGTCTATTCCTATTAGAATTACTACAGTGGTGCCTTGCTAGACGATTGCCGGTAAGACAAAATACAATCTATTCCTAGTAGAATTACTACAGTGGTGCCTTGCTAAATAATTGCCTCATGGGACGAAACCCCCGCAAGACGATTGGTTTTTTGCAATCACTATGGTGCCTATGTGGTGCCTCACAAGACATTTTTTCCTATGACCGTGCTTCACAAGACTATTTTTTAAGACCGATGCTTCGCAAGACTTTTTTTTTTTTACACCGATGCTTCGCAAGATGTTTGGTGTGTTGTTTTTTTTGAGACCAATGCATAGGGAACCTTTTTTTTTAGACTGATGCCTCGCAAGATTTTTTTTTTTGAGAGCGATGCATAGGGAACCTCACAAGGTGATTTTTTTCACAAGATGATGATTTTTTCGGAACAAATTAAAATCATCTTGCAAGGCACCACTGTACTTGGGGGGAGTTTCACTTGTCCCTTTAAACCTGGGTTGGAATCTGCCATTCTTCCTCTAGGTGTTGTAGGATTCAAAGTCCTATCAGTGCCACTCAGAACAGTCAAAGAGTTGTTAGTGAGTTAGAATCCAACATCTGGAGGCCCACAGTTTCCCCAACTCTAAAGCAGCAATGCATGTGTTCAATTGCTTCTCACACAGAAGGGTAAGAGTTGCACTGCATACAAAGATGTTTGTGGGAATGGCCTTTCCATGTAGTATTGCTGCTGTCTCTTTCTTTCAGTGTGCTGACATTCTGAGCCACTGAATGCTCCATTAAAAAAACAACAACATGGTAGCTAAGCTAGTCCTTATGAGGCTATTTGAACGTCTATGAACATGTGAATCTGCCTCATACGAAGTCATATTGTTAGTCCATCTAACTAAGCATTTTGCTTCCTAGAATGGGCAGCAGATCTCCAAGGCCGTAGCAAAAGTTTTGCATAACCTGATGGTATGACACGCTTCTAAACTAGGCTGATGATGGTAGTTTCTACATGCAAAGTAGGTGCCTATCCAATGATCTGTGAATTTTCCTATGGATAGATTTTGAGTGACCTTGAGGTGGTGGTTTCCACTCTTGGGATCTCGAATGTTGTTGAACTATTGCTCCTAGAAATCCAGACGATTGACCATATTAAAAGACGGGCCTTCTTAGGTTTGTACCCATTCAATATCTTGAAACCTAAAGTACAGAAACTTTGCTTTAAAGGATAGTAAAGTGTCCATTCTTTGGGCTGTAATCTTAAACAGATTAACTCAAATGTAAGCACCTTACAGTGGGATTTCTTCTCAGGTAAACAGGAAAAAAAAAGTTGTAAAAATAATCTATTTAAGCAAAATGTAATCACTTGGGGTGAATTACAAGTGCTTGTAGTTTAAATGTATATGAAATTGCTGCATATTCTGTTTCTCCGCCCTCGTTATTCTGTTATTCTCTATGCATGTTGGTTTTTAGATGGAAAGCTCCTCAGGACAGAGACATGTTGTGTCCTTTTTAAAACATTCTCTACATAGACTGCATTACAATGATAATGTATAAGAACAAAATGTCGGTGCATTAAGGAAATAGGGAAGTTTATATAAACAAATGAGGTTAACGATACATGGATTTATGGTCACCACTGATTTTGGTGAAGAAACTGAACGTTTGTATATACATCAATAGATAAATGTCTTTCAAATTTTAGTATTGCTGTTGAGAGTAAAGTAGATGCACATATGCACCACTGCTTGCATGAGTTGAGATACACATGGTCAGTGAGATTCTGAATTTTCTTTCTCTCTGTTTGTGTGCGTGCGTGCGTGCGTGTGTGTGTGTGTGTGTGTGTGTGTGTCTGTGTCTGTGTGTCTGTGTGTGTGTGTGTGCGCGCGCGTGTGCGTCTAATCGATAGCAACAGATTCTGTCACAGCATATTTTTATAGCCACAGCCAGTAATGCTCTCTAATAAAAGACTTCCAGATATAACCAACAGCACCTATTCCCCAAACACAAATCTGTCTGTTCTCCTTACCTCTTCTGATTTCCTTTGATAAAAATTCCTAACTTGTTCATCAGTTAATATTTTTTCATCTTCTGCTAGGATGATAAAACCAGCTTCCGTGATCTTCAGTTACAGATTACCATCATGTTCAAGCACATTTTAGAAGAAAAAAACATAGCTTATCAAATTGTTTAAGAGGCAGTCCAGTAAAACAACAATGACTTGTGAACATAATCAGTCAATCAGTTAATCAATTTAAATAAATTGACATATTACTCTAACTTTATTGTGATTATTTTTTATATTTAAAAGAAGGTACAAGTATAACTGTCACTATTTCATAGGGTCAGCATAAATCATCATCATCATCATCATCGTCATCGTCATCATGTTAAAACTGTAGGGCTGGAAGGGACCTTATTGGGTCAGGGGGTCCAGGCCCTCTCAAGGAGGCCGAGTGGGGGAATTGAACCCCCAACCTCTGGCTCTGCAGCCAGAGACCTAAACCCCTGAGCTATCCAGTATCTCATTAAGGATAATTATCATCATCATGTTAGAAGCTAAAAACAGTAAATATACAAATATTTTAAAAGAATTAAACAAGTATTATATTTAAAAAATATACACAACAATCCGTTTAAACATCTATCTCAATCCATCAGTCATTAAGGAAAAGCCTGCCTAAAGAGAAGGAGAAAGACAGCAAAGATGGGAGCACCTCCTGTGGAGGAAGGTACTAGAATCCAGGAGCAGTGACAGAGAAGGCCTTTTCTCGTGTCTCCACCAAGTGTACCTGAGGGGCTGATGGGACTGAGCGAAAAGCCTCCTCTGATGTTCTTAATGCCTGGGAAGGCTCATAGAGGGAGGTGCAGTCTTCATACAGCTTGGACCCAAGCCATTTAGGGCTTTATATATTAAAATCAGAACTTTGAATTGTGCCCAGAAATGAATTGGCAGCCAATGGAGCTGCAGTAACAGGGGAGTTATATGGTCCCTGTAACCAGCCCCAGTTAGCAATCTGGCTGCAGCATTTTGGACCCGCTGGAGTTTCCAAACACTTTCCAAAGGCAGCCCCATGTAGGACACATAGCTTGTGATCTGGCTTCATTTTGGAAAGCTACAGGTTTTGAAGATTTGGCTTAGCAAATTCCTGTCAACCTATCTGCAAGTCAATCAAATTGTTTACCTTTTGAAACAAAGATTTTGCTTACCGTTTGCTTAATTTCTTCAACTTTTCCTATAGCAACTGCATCAGGTTTTATGATGACAACAGTATATTTTTCCATCTCTAAAAGAAAATGGAAAATATATAACATTTATTATATATCTTTATGAACAATTTTTTAAATGTACATATGGTTGATTTTATACTAAGCTATTCACTATTGCCATGTGAACTATTCATGTGTAATAATCCTTTTAGTAAAGCACTTATATTCCTCAGCTCTTTGTTATTAGTGGTCATTGTGACAGAAAATATATCTACATAGCAGTTTGTATTGGTGTGTATGGTGGATGACAGGGGTTTTTATTGATAGTTGTAGGTCGAATGTGTGGTGAGGAGACAGTTAAAACCATTGAAAGATATATGGAAGAAAGACAGGCCGAAAGAGCTATGACAGTGATGAGGTAGTTGTAGTAAGAGTTAGAGATTGGAGGCAGCAAGAGAAAGTGTAGAATAGCTGTACAGTTAGAGTCGAGTGAAGTTGTTATGGAAAAATAGAGTGTCCATGTTGGAACATGTGTAAAAACAAGCATCTATTGATCCTGTTTTCTCACATTGGCTTATTTTTTTTTGTTTACAAATCTTATTTATCATTTTAAAAGATAACAGTCCTAAGGTTTTATACTCATACATACTGTTAGTCAGCGCTGGTAATGCATGGTTTATATAGTGTCACCAGGGTAACTAATACTGTGTGTTTCCCCAGAGGTGTTCTTTTAAAAGGGCACTGTGAGGTTGTCCCTTTGCTGTGGCAGTATTTAAGTGGCAGTGGAAAGGGAAAACTATTTGCCAGGTTTAGTTGAAGAGGTAGTCCATGGAAGGACAGGGGGAGGGTGTCCCTGTTGGTTCAACTGGACATCTCAGCAGCTTATGGTACCATTGACCATGGTATCCTTCTGGGCAGTCTCTCTGGGGTGGAATTTGGAGGCACTGTTTCAGTTTCAGATCAATGTCTGATGTCAGTAATTAACTGGATGAAGGTGAAAAAACTGAAACCTAATCCAGAGAAGACAGAGGTGCTCCTGATCAGTGTGTGTGTTATGCAACTTAGCACAATGAACAGCTGTAAATAGGAAGGCTCAATTCTAGAAATACAGTGGTGCCTTGCTTGCCGAGAATAATCCATTTCATTCAAATCTCTGTTAAGCAAAATCCTCGTCAAGCGAAATGAAAAAGCCCATTGAAACGCATTGAAAACCGCTCAATGCGTTCCAATAGGTGAAGTACCTCAGCGTCCAGTGAAGATCCTCCATAGGGGCGGCCATTTTCTGGTGCCTGTAATGTGAGGAATCTGTAATAAGCACAGCGGGGAGCCATTTTAAACAGCGGGTGGCCATTTCGAAACCCGGCAATCAGCTGTATTCTGATCGTCGCAAAGTAAAAAACCGGTTCCCGAAGCAGGGAACCGATCATCGTGAAGTGATTTTTCCCATTTAAAACATAGTTTTGCTATCACAAAAATTTCATCATTAAGCGATTCCCTCATCTAACGAGGTAATCGTCAAGCGGGGCACCACTGTATGAATAACCCCTGATCCTATGCAAAGTCCCCCCCCATATGAGCTTCAGAATTGTCTTCTCCAGGCAGCAAATTTCAATATCCCAAACATCAGAAACAGCAAGGAGGACTGAACACACATGAATAATTAAAAAACAAAAACAAAAGAGGCTTCAGTTATATGTTCATCTGACTGTCCTTAGATGGAGAATGTTGATTAACATCCGTTTTGCTAGCTTTGCTATTGTATTCTTCACCACTTCAAAGTTTGATATCTATGGATATCTACAAGAAGATTATCTCCAAGGACATTTTCAAACTCCTACATTAATATCAGAAGTGTTATCAGGAAAATTATCTCTTATTCATAGAACACAGGGGCTGAAAATCAATTCCAGCAAATCTTGCCTAATTTTTTTTCAGCGCAGAAATGTACAAAAAGCAAAGTGATATAGTCTACAGATATCTACCTTCACTACTCTCTGGCAGGTGAAGATAACAAATTCCAAATGTTACTCCTAGCTAGGCAAAATTACAAGAGTTTTGTGTAGGTTTGGCTTTTTTGGTACCTTTTTTCGGGGGGAAATATTGTTCAAAGATGTCTTTTGTGCATTTTTACATATAACCTAGGATGGGGACTCGAGTCATGCAACTCACTGTTGAGTTAAGTCACACTAGCGACTCAACTTGGACTCAACTTGGTTTTTGTTTTGTTTTTTCCAGTGACTTGGACTTGATTCAGGACTATTTTTCTGAGTTGCGTTTTCAAGTCCCAATTCTTTTAATGTTGCAAGCCTGGAAGAAGCTTTGTGATGCTCACCAGAAGACACAGCAGAGATGGGCAGATGGTGGCAAGTGGCAGAGGAGGGTTTTTGAGGGGGTGGAGGGGTGAGGGAAAGAAAGGCAGGCAGGGCAGATGAGACTAAATGTGGGTGGTTCACAAGACCTCCCCCCATACCCCACAGAGCCCACTCACCCCACCCTTTTTCTGGGGAAAAACTGGTTTTTAATAGGGATCCAGATTTGGGGCTTGAGAGTCAGGACTTGATACCAAAGACTTGGTCTCAGACTTGAGACTTGGACCTGAAGACTTGCCAACATGACCTTGTATGTTGTGCAGAATGCAGGTGTTTTGCACACACATCCTTCCTCTGCCCCCACAACCCAAGACTTCCACTCCTGAAAAAAGTGATTTCTCTCCCCCTCATGCAAGAGCAAAAATTCTTATAAGGGTTGAGCATATTTTTCAGTAAGGAAGAGGGAATGTGCAAGTGTTTGTTGCATCCTTAATAATTTCCCCTACTTCGGTTTAGGGTTGTTGCAGGTACAGGTATTCTGCCTGCTTGCTCCTTGCATCTTTAGAGCCAACAGTCAAAAACTGAACTTCTGCTGTGCCACCTGAATGCTGGTTCTCGCCTTCATCCATTCACTTTTCATGTTACGGGCAGAAGCAGGTTGCTTCATTCTGTTACATGGCAGGGCTACACTGGCCTTGATGAGGTATAGGAGCAATTTGCTTTATTGTGAAAGTGAGACCCTGTGATGCTGAGACCCATCTGTAGGACTGATCCTACCATTACATAGAGTGTGGGAGCTACCTCAGGCAGAAGAACTGGAATATCATTAATGTGTTATTACATGATTTGCATTGCCAGAGAGATGAAGAGATGTCCTTTCAGGATTTTCCTGCATTGACCTCTCTTGAAAAGGCACTGGGACTGTCCTTGCAGAGCAACAATTACATCTAGGCCTAAATATTTTATGCCTGAGGAGAAGGACAATATAACATCCACCATCCATTCTGTGCATCGAGGCCCCTTGAGATGGCAGGAAAATCTTAGCATTGGAGACAGCATCTTTCACTGCACCTGAAGGTGAGAGACTAGCTTAGAGGGCAGCAGGACACACCAAGTGACAGATAAAATTCAGGCCACCCTGAGATGCAACTCTCCATGATCTAGGATTGGCTGCCCGAAGCAGCAACTGATTCTGTGGAAAAGGTTGAGACTTACTATGTGGAGAAGAATACAAATAATGAATCTCTGTTGGAACCCCTGCTGCCCATATACTGCTACAAACCCTTCTTGAACATACTTTCTCATTTGAGAACAACTGGATATCCCTATTTTTACTCTCTAGATAAAAAATAATCCAGCAGTATTACTTGCCTTCTGGCTCTTCTTCTTCAGGTTCTTCATCTGATTCTTTCTCTTCTATAATCAAGAGCTCTGGCAACTAAAATTGTTTTTATTGTTAAGTTCCAGTGGTATTGTTTATCAGAAAGAAGGTTACATATGACTATTACTCCTTTTTTACATCCAAAATTGATTTAAAATATTTGAATTTGAATTAAAATATACATACTCTCTAGGAAGCTGCATTTGTTAAATAAATTTTCAAAAGTTTCTAAATACCATAAAAAAATAAATGTTTCTAACATGGATTTTCCACAGCTGTATCAATGAGTTGTTTCAACGGAAACTACTCAGTATGTATTAAGAAGATCCCATCATGCTGCAGCAACAAGAGGGAAAAGAAGGGCCATGCTCTTGGCTTTCTACTTCCATTCACTATCATTCTGCAATATCCATTCCATTAGGTGACATTAGAGGGAAAGATAGGAAGCAGCAGCTCTGCTAAAAGTCCATATACCTTGTTTCCCAGCAGAGTCACGCTCTCAGAAGACTGTCAGGAGCATGATTGTGTTGGGAAACAACATACACACATCCCAGGTGCCACATTCTACAGTGCTGGGATTTTAGCAGTGGAAATGGTAAAATGTTAGTGCCATATTTTTAGTGGTAGCAGGTGTCCAGCTCCCATGAGGTTTTTGGGAGGTAAAGTAGTCTCATACCTGGGAGGTGGCTACTCCCACATTAGAGCATTTTCCTACAAATCTTATGAATGGGCTTTCCCTTTGAAATGTCCCTTAAACATCTTAAAGACTGTCATTCATCCTCAATGGTTTCCAATCCATCTATGCAAGACAGAGTGCTTGGGGATGCAGAAATGCCATGACTGGGGAAAAGATCCATATGAATAAAAAGTAAACACATATTGAGAATGGGCAACAAATTCAGTGGTGCCTCACTTAACGCATTATGATGAAATCACTGTACGACGATCTTTTTGCAATTGCAATTGCGATCGCAAAACAATGGTCTAAATAGGGTTTTTTCGCTTTACAATGATCGGTTCCCTGCTTCGGGGACCGATTCTTTGCAAAACAATGTTTTTAACAGCTGATTGGTGGTTTCAAAATGGCCACCGGGTGCTTAAAATGGCTCCCCGCTGTGTTTAGGGATGGATTCCTCACTATACAGGCAGCGAAAATGGCCACCGTATGGAGGATCTTTGCTGGACAGTGAGTTTTTACCCCATTGGAATGCATTGAACGGGTTTCAATGCATTTCAATGGGGTTTTTAATTTCGTTTTATGATGTTTTCGCTTAACGACGATTTTCCTGGAACAGATTATTATCGTTAAGCGAGGCACCACTGTTCAAACCAATGAGAACAGAGATTCAGGCATAGCTATGTTACCTCTGGTCTTGGTATTTCTCCTGCTACAATTTTTCTCTCTCTCTCTATCATCTCAATCACTTTTCTGGTTAGAAGAGGTCCATTTGCACCTTTTACTAGATCTACCATTTTGCCATCCTGTAAACAAATATAAACCTACTTAAACAATATACTTAGGAATCTGTCAAGGTTTTGTTTTAGTCACTGCATTGGTTTTGAACATAGAAGGTAATGTTTCTTTTCTTTTTATATTGGCTTAGTATCAGCTGACTGAATGAAGGGAGCAATGAGTAAGCATAAATTAACCCTTCACCAGCACCATGAAGATGCTTGTACGTACACTGTTTTCTTTGTTTTTTTAATAAAACAACTTGTCTTGTTTTTATATTCAGACATTTAACAATTGGCCCTAATTAATTTGAAGCAAATTATTCAAACATCCAAAAGATTTTGATTGATTAACACGATCAAGGAATTTGTTAAATGAAATGAGAAAACCTTCAGATCTCTTGGACCCCAATTTGCCTACCTCTTACCATTGGGACTGCTGGCTACAGCTTATGAACACTCAAGGGATCACTCCTGAATTAAATTGTGCAGGTTTACAGCCAAACCTATAATATTACTGAGCAATGAGCAACTTTGCTTGTTGGTTGGCTGGCTTAAAAACTTATCTCTTTTGGACTGTTGTATGGAAGATGAGAGATAACAATTTCAGGATGACAGGATAATAGTAGAAGACGTATTTTGTTGAAAATAACAGCAATCCAGATAAGTCATTGTTTGTGGAAGCTGAGATCAGCACAACAGAAATAAACTGTTTTTAAAGTAGTTCTAATAGCAGTTGGACTTCTAAAAAATAATATAATTAGTGCCTGCTTTCAGTCTGAAAAATCAGAATAAAATAGCTAAAGCAAAAGAACAAAAACTAACCTCTGTGCACTTACCAAACAGAAGATGAAAGCAGGTTCACATTTGTCCTTAAAAGGGAGCAGAGCCACGACAGTTTCAGCCTCTGCCTTAAATGAAGCATGTACAGATAAGTGCACACATTTTTTTCAGATAGATGCCAGACCAGAGCTTGGAAAAGTTACTTTAAAAGCAATCTGTTACAGATCCTGAATGTAGAAAGCATTAGCTACAGCTGCAGTCACAATTTTGAAAGTAACTATGCAATCATTTTTGAAATGTAATTACAATAGATATGTTTAGGTTACTTTTGAAAAACATCACAATGCCATAGACCAGGAGTCCCCAACTCCCGGGCTGCAGACCCGTTCCAGTCCGTGGCCTTGGAAGGATTGGGCCGCTGGGACAGATGAGTGGTGAGCAGGAGGTGAGTGCCCCTGATGAGGCATAGGAGCAATTTGTTCCTGTTCACCATTTCCTATATGAGCTTGACTCAAAGCTATCCTTCAACAGCCTACTGCATAACAAGTCCCCCCCCCCGGTCCTTGGGAGAATGGTCTTCAACTAAACCGGTCCCCGGAGTCAAAACAGTTGGGGACCACTGCTACTGAATTCTATACATAATATATCTAACTGGTGATATAAACTCTGTAGCTTTAAAAGTAACATTTACAGTTACACTACAACTCAAGTAAAGTTATCCCTTCTTGTGTTACCACAACTTTTTTCATCCCTATCTATTTTCAAGATTTCTTTAAGACCTTCTAGCCAGAGTGATTCTCATATGGCTGTTTTCTCTATAGACTATACTCAATTGGTTCACTGAGAAATTTGATTTGCAGTACGGAAGTCTTCTAGTTTTTAGCTAAGATTCCCTCAGAGCTTTTAAGGTTGTGACCCAAAAAGGCAATTCTACATTCTTTGGATCACACTCAAAATCAGTATTCTGAATGTCATTTCATGATAGCCCCATAAATATGTTAACATGCTGTCCTGTAGGGCCACATTCTTGGCATAGATGTGGGCATGCATGCAAGCCCTGCCCCTAAATTTGTCCTGCACTCACCAGTGTTAGAGACCTTTGCACACTGAGCACAGAAGTCTGCAAAGGACACTGTAAGTGTGGCTTGCAGACAACCCAGCAGCCTTTTTACTCCCTGGTGGTGATGGAGAGGATGGGCTAGGAAGCCCTTCCAAAGAAGCTGTCGGCTCCGGAGAATAAAAACTCAGCAGGATACAGCCAATCCTTTATGATGAGATTCTCCAAGAAACATTCTTTCTCTTTTGAAAATCCCAGCTTGTATCAGCCCTTCATTTAACTTTACCCACACCCTCCTCCTAAATAGCGGCTTTGTGCAAGAGACAAACATGGAGGTGTGGAGAACTGAAAAAGGGTAACAAATTAAGAAGCAAGAGAATAATCGAATGTAAATGACGCATTAAAGAGCTGTATTTGCATTGCTGGAATTTGGTGAGAACTCTTAAAAAATAAGAGGGAAAGGGGGCTCATCTTTACTATTAGTATTTTCTTTATTATTTACTGTGCCTCTTGCACTGAGAGGAGAAACACCATTTTTGAAAACCCGCACTGAAAGACACCATTTGCCCCTCCTTTCTTTTTCCCTATTATTGGCATACAATCAAATACACCAAGCACTCAAGGACATTTGAGATAAGCTTACAGAAGTTAACCCTGTACCTCATACCCTGCGAGAAAGGGAAAGATCAAATAAGTGCTTCAGGAACCATTAGAGGGCAGTAGAAGACAATAGAGGACACAGCGTTCATATATTTAAAGGTTTCCTTTTTCTGCTTTTCTTCTGTTACTGTACCTAGACCAAATCGCGATTATCGGAACTGTACAAATAACTGTATTATTGTGATCTTCAAACATCTGGGAATCGGGTGGATACATTTCTTTTTCTTTTTCCTCCCTTTTTACATTCCTTTTTTTTTGACACTACATTAGAGAATTGTGGTTTTTACAGCTGGGTTAACTCTGAAGGCCAGACTGGAGGAATCCCAAGCCATAACTTAGATTGCCAGAAGAAATATCAGCAACCTCAGATATGCAGATGATACCGCTCTGATGGCAGAAAGTGAGGAGGAATTAAAGAACCTCTTTAAGAGGAGAGCGCAGAAATAGTCTGAAACTCAACATCAAAAAAAACTAAGATCATGGCCACTGGTCCCATCACCTCCTGGCAAATAGAAGGAGAAGATCTGGAGGCAGTGACAGATTTTACTTCCCTGGGCAGATGGTGACAGCAGCCACAAAATTACAAGATGCCTGCTTCTTGGGAGGAAAATGATGACAAACCTAGACAGCATCTTAAAAAGCAGAGACATCACCTTGCCAACAAAGGTCCACATAGTCGAAGCTATGGATTTTCCAGTAGTGATGTATGGAAGTGAGAGCTGGACCATAAAGAAGGCTGGCTGCTGAAGAATTGGTGCATTCGAATTGTGGTGCTGGAGGAGACTCTTGAGAGTCCCCTGGATTTCAAGGAGAACAAACCTATCCATCCTAAAGGAAATCAACCCTGAGTGTTCACTGAAAGGAGAGATCCTGAAGCTGAGGCTCCAGTACTTTGGCCAGCTCATGGGAAAGTGTGAAGGCAAGAGGAGAAGGGGATGACAGAGGACGAGATGGTTGGACAGTGTCATTGAAGCTACCAACATGAATTTGACCAAACTCGGGGACGCAGTGGAAGACAGGAGGGCCTGGTGTCCTCTGGTCCATGGGGTCACAAAGAGTCGGACAGAAGTTAACGACTAAACAACGATTATAACTTTTTAAAAAACTATAACTCTGTTGACTATTGCTTTCTTGACTTGTGGTTAGCTAAACTTCATATATTGTTGTCTTCCACCTCTTGTCCTTTAAAATTAAGCCACAGCTTGCTAAGAATGACTGTGCCTTTGGAAAGTGTTCTACTCCTCAAATCTCAGTTAAGACATGGATAGTATATCATGAATAGCTATGTAGCACTTATTAGCTTTTATGTGTATAAGTGCACTTCTTTAGCTGAAATGTGCTTAGACACACCATCGTTTATGAAAAAGAAAAACTGGTTAGTCTTATGGGTCCTACATGACTATTTCTGGTAGAAATTGTTATAATATGTCTACCTTATGTTTATACCACAGAAGTCTTATCTCTCAAAAATATTTGACAATATAACATTTGCTATTTAGTTCCTTACCACAGCAAAATGTAGAAGATTATCTTCACCATATTCATTTTTTAGTTTTCTGAATAAGTTCACCACAGCTTTGCAAGGTCCACACCAACCTTGATAAACATCTACTACTGAAAAATATACATAGCAACAACAATATTCTAAATGGAAGTAAACTTTAACATAGTTTTTTCTTCTTCTGCATCCCAACAGACTCAGACCAAGACATGTTGCTGTTCTGTATGCTTCAGCACAGAAGCAAGCTAGCTGAGCAGTTGACTCTTACCACCACACTGAAAATATAGGACAGTGCTCTCTGCTGTTCTTAAGGTCATGCTCGTAGATGAGTTTAGAGCTGAAGAATAGCTTGTGAAACACAGACAGCTATGTTGCACAACAGCAGAGAATGGCATGACTATGCAATTAAGTAATTAAGAAAAGTTAGATATCTTTTATTGGTTTTTTGGGGGGGGTTGCTAACACTGTAGACTCTAATTGAGAATGCTTTGCATTGTATCAGCACAATTCACTATCTTTTAGTGCTTTATACTTTTATAATAAATCTTTTGGATATTTTACTCAAGTGTGAGTCTTGGGAGGAACAAGGGTGAGTTGCATAAAGAAAGTGCCTTGGCCATAGAGCTGTGCTAGCTATTTTTGTTACTTGGGTGTACTGGTCAAGCTGGTGTGCAAGTCTTAAAGTACGCAGCCAATAGAATTTCTGTCACAAAATGAGGGGAGAGATAGAAATCTAGGTTTACAAACCTGCTCATAGTTACCCACTCACACACCCTCTAGTTTCACCCAGCCTAGGGTTCAAAGGGTGGCGGAAGTTGAGAACTAAAGTTAGCATCTTTGCCTAGTAGAAAACTGGTAGCCATCTGCAAGCACAGGAGAATAATTAGATATGTTTAAATTTATCAGAGAAAAATTAGATCTCTTTTCCACATTGCTCCTTTAAAGTGGCTTCAACCCATAACCTGTGCTTGAGGAAGGGGCTGGCTGGGCATAATCTGAGCTTGAGGTGATGCAGTGCCCCACTTGTTCTACAAGTAGCACATCCTGAAGACTACGAATCACACCAGGAAAGCAGATACGGGGTGAGTGGGTGGGTGTCTGTCTTTTTGAAAGCCCAGCAGTGTGTGCACAAAATGCGTCACTGACCTGTATGAACAAAGTTCAGTGAGTGAGGGGAAAGTATCTGTTAAGGAAAATACCTGTTAGACCTTTATTCAGCAACATCTCATCCCATTGTGTTTGACTGGTTATTACTGCCTAAAGTGGAGCAAGAGAGAATTTTGTTAGCACCCTACATCCTGGGTATTGAATGAACAGTTGCTTAATTAACTAACAGGAAAGATCTATACCTGTAGCTGAATTTCTTTCTTCTTGCTTGCCATTTTATTTCATATTAGTATGCAGATATCACAAATAATCCAATTGAAATAGCTGAAAATGATATAAATGCACACTTGAATTTAGTTCAGTATAAATTGCCATTCAGTTTAATCAACATAGTCAATATACATTTGTGATTAAAGCTATGTATAACATAACAGATCATGTAAGTAAACCTAATAAATATAATTATTGAAATAATTAATTTTCCATTCTTTCAAACTGAGTATTAATCCCTTAATAGTGAGTTAATTTATGGTTTTATGCAAATATATGTCCATAATTATGCTTAATATGCTTTAGACTGCTTTCATGTAAATATTTTATATTTTCATACACAAGCATACATGTTTATTTTTCATTTATAATTATTTATTAACAATGACAGTATTAACAATATTAGATTTTTCTATACCCTTCTTTCACTCTCCCTTTTTCATCCCCTGTGGCAGTGTCATACCTAAAATCTTATGATGAGGCTTTTCTGGAAAAATTATAGTCATATTCCAAGTATATTATAAAAAACAATATATTCTGTATGGTTCCGGGAGTCCCTCATTATCTAGTCCAATTGTTTTCAGCTATAACTTCCATCAGCCATAGCCAGTAACTTTTTTAAAAATATAGATATTAAGAGCTTGAGAAAGACTATGAGATTTTTCATGGGGGCCGGTGGTTTGAACCAGAAAATTTTGAACAAGGGAAATTAATTCTCTAGTATATATTTTCTGCTCCTTTTGTATATCTTCTTCTCCTTTCATCATCCTTTTCTAACCTTTTTGCACAGCAATTAATATTGCTGTGAAGAATAGATGTTGTTTAGAACTACAGTACAGTAGAAATTAGAAAGGTGAGGTTTTTGCAGGGCTGGCAAATTAAACTTAATATCTTACTGTCTTTAATTTTTGATAATTACTGCTGTAATCGACAGAGACTGAATAAGTGACATAAACTCCTCAAACACTCAGCAGGCAACTAAATATATGTACTTGTGAAAAGCACTCAGGTAAATCTGGGATAAATCTTTATTTACCAGCAGAGGGAGTTAAGTGGCAGCTTGAGAATGAACACATCAGGACTTCTGCTGAATATTGAGAGTAACAGTTATGATTTGCAATTACAGGAGCACAATTCCAGAAATTAGGATCTTGAATGCCATCTCACGTACATCTTTTGTCATTAAGACTTAAGTCAGCTTATCCATATAGATTGCTCACCTTATTAATCTTACACTATTTTCTCTGCAAATGAAGTCAATAGAAAACATATGGCTTATATAACTAGTTTGTATAACCCTGCATTTGAACCACACAGAATAGCAGTGTTGTAAACTTTGAGGTAAGGTTGTCACTTGTCAGGAAAAGAATAAATAGTCTGGAACGGTTACTTAAACCTGGGCTAAGTTGAAGACAGTATAGTCTTAAGCTTGCCTTGAGCTCATGGAGGGAGAGCCAAGATGAGTTATGTAGGGGGAGGTGTAGGGATTTTTGCATCACCGGTGAGGTTGTCAGGAAAAGAATAAATAGTCTGGAATGGTTACTTAAACCTGAGCTAAGTTGACAGACAGTATAGACTTAAGAGTCCAGTGTGATATGGGGGTTAAAGTGTTGGACCACAAATTAAGTCCAAGTCTCCACTAAGCCAGGTGGCTCACTGGGATGACCTTAGGCTAGTCACACTCTCTCAGAATGACCCACCTCGTAGGGTTGCATGGTAAGAAAGCCATGCATGTTGCCTTGAGCTCATGGAGGGAGAACCAAGATGAGCTATATAGGGGGAGGTGTAGGGATTTTTGCATCACTTTAATCTTTTTTTCAGAGTTTGTCTGTAGATGTTTGTAGTGTGGTTGACATAAGCAGGAGGGCTGAAATATCAATAAAGAATTGTGTCTACAACTAAGTGATTAACATCCCGTTGTTGGCAAATAAACTAATATGTTCTCATGGGCTAATTCATTAGTCAACTGTTTCCTTTTGATGCTGGCTTATTTTGGAGGATGTTCTGGACTGGAATAGGCATCAACCAAAATGACATGCCATTCTTCCTTCTTCCTCCCCATAGCAATACATGATATCTGTGAGTTCCTCTGTAGAAGCCATAAACCTTATACAGTCATCACAAAACCAAAAGCATCAAAGGAACGTATGTACTGGACCCACCATCTTGACCCCTGGGCCAGCCCTAGGCTGTATGTTTGTTTGTTTGCTTTCTTGCTTGCCTGTTTGCCTACCTACTTCTGAAATAAAGAGACAGTCACAGGTGTTGGATTTAACTACGGCCACTTTTATTAATTAAAATTTCCCACCCTCAAGCTGCATAGGGGCCTAAATGTAGTGCAGATTCCTGGGGAAGTCTTTAACCCTTTCCTGACCCCTAATGGGGAGTCCCATGCTCCTGGTCTGAGCAGTCCCCAGCTCGTACCTGGCTGGCTAAAACGGGGGATCCCTTGTCAGGGCCAACTGTCCATTCCTGAACTTGGACAGCTAGCAGTACAGTCAGGGCCCATAGACACCCCTCAACATGGCAAGTGAATCTCGGAATCCTAGTTGCTGCAACACTGTATGAAAAAGCACCTCATGTGCCTATAGGGAACTCATCAAAACTGACTTTCCATTCTACACTACCACTATGTGACCTATTTAAAGTGGCTCCACCACCCAATCTGCCGAAAACATCCCATGGGTAACCAGTATAGGATAGGCAAAAACTCACCGTTCAAATGCCAATTAGGTAACACAGGTCAAAAATTCCTATCCGGCCCTAAAGCAACCACATAAGCCAGACAGGCAGGTGAGTTGCCAAATTTGAAAGAGGACTGATGGGGGGGGTGAGCCTGATAAAGGGTCTCAGCTAGCCCCGCCCCCATCCCAGCAACATGTATGATGCTGATAGGCATATCTACCTGCCTGTCTCTCAGTGGGAGGAGTGGACAAAGAATCCCCTCTGGGTTTGCGCTATTCAAATGCCAATTAGGTAACACAGGCCAAAAATTCCTATCCAGCCCTAAAGCAACCACATAAGGCCAGACAGGCAGGTGAGTTACCAAATTTGAAAGAGGACTGAGAGGACTGATGGGGGGGGTGAGCCTGATAAAGGGTCTCAGCTAGCCCCGCCCCCATCCCAGCAACATGTATGATGCTGATAGGCATATCTACCTGCCTGTCTCTCAGTGGGAGGAGTGGACAAAGAATCCCCTCTGGGTTTGCGCTGCGTAGGCAAGAGTTAAAAGGTTAAGGTTGTGATCTCTGTAAACAAACATTATTTTGGAGTGCTATCTGACATGTTAAAAATCTGAAACAGAAACAGCTGCCTGTTCAAGTGTTTTAGATCAGTGGTTCTTAACCTTGGGTTGCTCAGGTGTTTTTGGACTGCAGCTCCCAGGAGCCTTCACCACCAGCTGTGCTGGTCAGCTGCCTGTTCAAGTGTTTTAGATGAGTGCCTCTACCAGAGCTCATCCTATATAGTATCTTTGTAAATTAACACAGATAGTACAAAACACCAACATACTGTATTTCCATTGACCTTCTTGCAAGAATCCTGAAATCTGGGTAAGAGTTGTATCCTGGAACTTCCCTCTCCACAAAGAAATGGGGCAGATCTAACAATATTATAATTTCTGAGATACAGAGACATATAACATCTGACTTATTCATTCGCTATAACGGTTGCACATATTGCACATCTATACGGTGCCTGCTGAGTCCAGTATGGCAGTTCATGTCCTAAGTTTTAAAGTATTTTGTGAGACTCCTGTCCAGTGAAAGGTATGTCTGATGTCTGGGCTGTTCCGGTGATGGGAATGCCCCATTTGAGCTTCTCCATGGTGTGTACCATTTCAGACAAAGCTTGAAGATGTTCCTGTTTTGGACTAAAAGTCCCCAGACAGCATGACTTGGAAGATGGTGTGTGATCCAAAAACTAATATTTTCCAGTCTCTGGTTTTAGAGGCAAAGCACTAGAGGTGACACATGGTCCATGGAGTGTGAGGGGCAGGGCTCACTCTGAAATACTGGGGCAAGATGACATTTTTGGCTTGATAAATTACCCCAGTTCTTCTCTACTCCCCAGTATTAACTGCATAAAAACAAAACATAGTATAGTTTGGGGTGGATGTTCTTAATAAATAGCCCTGTCTCCCTGTGTACCTCTTCCAAGAAGGAGCCTACTGTTGGTTAGCTCAAGTTCTCTCCCAGCACGTTGCTTTGCACTATTACTGTGTATCTTTTCTCAGGGCTAATATAGACCTCTGCAATAGCAACACAATCTGGAAATAAAAATAGAAACTTCACCCCCACACCATACATTTTCTCCTCTCTCTCTTTCACACACACCATAATGACTACTGAATTAATATAAATTCTCACTTGCACAAGACATATGTATTATGACATGTCACACCATAACCAAGTTCAGGTCCTTACACACCACACACTAATTAAGCCAAGAGAACCACTTCCATGGATGAAATGAACCTTGTGGAAGGAGGGAATTCAAAAGAGTGGTAGACCAACCGTTATTACTGTTGCCATGGTCACCAAAGAACGTCTAGAGAAAAGCCAACTGTAAAGACTGGATAGGGAAGGTATCAGCCTGATTTATACAATGGCAGAATGATTCTTGTTCAGCTTGTTTGTTTTTATCTACCTTAGCCCAAGAAGACAGAGATTCAGAATCGACTACTTTTCCATTCCTCTGTCCTCTTTAATGGACAGAGGAATCAAACCTGCTGTAACGGCTGCCAATTCCTCATTTGGACAAATAAGTATATAAATTCTGCTTTCTTATAAATTGATGTTTGTTTGTTTTTTAAATCAGCTTATTTTCATTCCATTTATGAAAACTAAGACTTGTCTAAAATTCTCAGCCATCTTCATTAGCAAAATTCAATGAGCACAGCAATTCCTAGAATGGGGAGGACTGTATTTTCCCTTCCTCAAGGTAGCTGTTTACAATGCGAATTATGTGTCTGTGTGAGAGAGAACTGCCAATGCTAATTCAGTTCATCAGGGCTAGCCCAGTATTTACTTCTGCCTGAGGTGAAGGACAAGATGGTGCCACCCTTCATTCCATGTGAAGAAAGTCACTGAACTGTCCTGTGAATGTTACAGCAACACTGCACTGTGTCTGAGGAAAGCAGAGGGTGCAGGACAGGTATAACTCTTTTGTTCTTCAGGAGAGAGGATAATGAGAAGAATGTGTGAAAAGAAGCTGCTACTGCTGCTCCCCCATGTCTACTGCCTGGAACAGCTCTTTTACTGTGTTTAATAGTTAATGCCAGCCTTGAGAACAGGGTCATGGAGGAATGCTCAGAGATTTCAGCCCAGATTGTTAAAAGCTAAATGTTGAAAACCTTTTGCCTGGGTGGATGGATCTTTTAATTTCACCTTCTCCCACATGCAATTTTTTTTATCCTTAAGTTCTTCTGATCACCTTTTTGAAGAATTGTGAGGACAGTACATTCTGAATGGAAAAAAATAAATGAGATAAAATTTTAACTCACTGTTGTATTGCAGTACTAGTCATAAATTTCTGAGAATTTATAAGTTTCCTTGTTCCTTGGATTTGGTTAGACTTAGGCTTTCTTGCTTCTTGGGTTGTCTAATTTAATTAAACAATTGCATTGTTTCAAAATGCCTACCACTTCCAGACTGAATTTCTTTTTAACCATTTTTCTTTTTTGGCCATTTGTTTTTAAGGTTTATGGAATGAATTTTATTACACGAACATTTTGCCTATAAAAATGCATCCAGCATAACTGAAGAAAAATGTTGTTGCCTTGACAACTATATGGTGACCTTAAGAAGGAACACAACTGCTATATAAATAATAGCCTGGAGAGTAATCTAAATCAAATGATCTGCAGGGCTAAATTTACTGATTTTTCTGTTAGAAAGAACTGCATGAATGTGCAATTCAAGGATATAAAACTTGACTTTTCTTCTGAGTTATCCAATACAGAGCCCCACAGCGTTATAGAATTATTAAAAAGTACTTCTGCATCATAAGGAAGGTAGTTCAAGCCTTTCCCTCAGGCAATCAAGCCTTTTAAATAAAATCATGGATTGAGTTTTCATGGAAAAGCCTTTGAAAGGCCTTCCTAATATATGCAATATTTCAAATATGATCCAACCTGGATTTTGGTGAGGGATGTCAGATTTTCTTATGAAAAGGAAGAAGAGAAGTTGTTCCTTATTGTAAGGTGCTGCTGCATTTTAGAGAAGCAGAAAGGTTAAAACCTAATCTTGGAAACCAAAGTCAAAAGTGTACTTTTCTTGAGTAAAAAACTACCAGAGTTTCTCATGTTGTTTCCACTTGAGAAGTGCAGTTCATGGACCCATTCCATGCTCTGATTTACAGTCATGTAAAAAAGAAAATACACCCTCTCTGAATTTTGTTATTTTACGTATCAGGACATAATAAAAATCATCTGGCCCTTTGCAGGTCTGACGATTACGTAAATACAATCTCAGATGGGCGGCATATAAATGCAATAAATAATGATTACGTAAATACCTGGGCGGCATATAAATGCAATAAATAAATAAATAAATAAACAAACAAAACATGACATCTTACACCGTGTCATGATTTATTTGACAAAAATAAAGCCATTTAGTTGGAGAACACACTTAACCTTCCAATTCTTTGCTATTGTTAATTTATCCACTGTTACTAAATTTATAATCAGTTACGTTGTTGTCAGCTGCCATTATTCCTTTTGAAATATCAGTAAAAGTGCTATTTTAGGACATGTTCTTAAATTTAAATTTAATACTTCACTTATTTCTTTCAAAACCAGCTTCCAAAATTTAATTATATATTCCCATTCCCATCATATGTTAGTACAAGTTTCCAAATTCTTGCTCACATCTCCTTTCCAATGGATGCTTTACTGCTGTATCTCTGATAATGTTTCATGTGCTGCTATTTTCCTGTATATTTTGGATGTTTATTATATCATCCTTGCTTTACTCTTGTCTGTAGTCTTGTATTTATTTGCTGCCTAAGAACAATACTCCATAAATGTTGTAAATAAAGAAACACATACATTCTGTTCCAACCTCTGGACGGCTATAAGGTCCACACGTCTGCTGCAGATCACCCATTCTCAGCAGGGGCCATATGGTCCTCTGGGGGAGCTCTGAGACATTAGAGGGGGACACAGATTCATCTGTGTGTATTGTATCCTTGTTTGCCAGGTGGCCCTGGAAGCTGAAAATAGCTCCTAAAAGTCTCTTGCCAATAAAAGTTTGAGAAACGCTGCTCTAAATGATATGTTAAAATCAGGAGAGTTTATAAAAATATATTGAATTTCACTCAGTCAAGAATGTTTTAGCAGGAGTTAGATACTAAGAAATGCCTTCTGCATTTCATAAAGGGAAGTATAGGCGCAGCATGAAAGTGTGGTTTTTGCTAGACATATGTTGAAAGTATTGTACAGCAAAGATAAATCAAGAAAGCGAAATCATGTTGCTTATATACCACCTCATAGCACTTAAACCATTCTCTGGGAGCTTTAGAATTCAATTATTATTACACATTGCCCCCCTCCAACAAGCTGGATATTCAGTTTACTGACCTCAGAAGGCTGGAAGACTGAGTGAACCTCAAGCCTTGCCAGCTGGGACTGAACCTGGGTCATGAGCAGAGTTTTGGCTGTAGCACTGTAGTTTAACCACTGTACCATGAGGCTCACCTAGATAACATGCCACAAAAGAGTGTGATAGAATTAATAAGTAGCTCATTATGTTATATACGTGATTGGTCTGCATACCTTAGCACCTGGGAACTTGCATGCAAGTTTTAAAAGAGAAACCCTGTGATGATGATAGTGAATTTGTACATTAGTGTACTGATGTGCTGAAATCATAGGTTTTAATTATTGTGGTCTTAATACTGGTTTTCCCTCTTGTTGTTTGTATGCAGATGGTGGAGAAGTGTAAAAACCCCTCCAGATCCCCCAATTCTGATCTCTGAATTTTATTTTTCTAAGGTACAGATTTCCTTGGCCTTAGATCAGCTGCTGCCAAAACCATAAAAATGAATTATACCTCTAGGATTCAGAGAGGAATATTTAAGGTTTCTGTGCATTGTCTATGATCACTGTATCATTTTCTTAGAAAGAGACATTGGATTCCTGAACTGTTGAATTTAGCTAGAACCACCAGAAGAACTTGGATCCATTTGTTAATTCTTTTGCAGTCTCAGATGCATGCACACAGAATATCCTTTTTCAGGAAATAATAATCTCAACCTCAAAATATGACATTTTATTAAAACCAATGAAATTACATTTTATACAATGTTGCTGGATATTACAAGCAAGTGAGAAGTGTAAGAACACAGGGAATGAGTTATTTGAAAATCACCTTAGATGTACAGAAGGCACCTGTCCACTCAAGAAGATCCAAAATAACCATTTGTTTATGTTACTACTTCCTCAGGAATCTTCCTTCGTAAAGGATATTACAAGCTCATCTTTATGATCTTAATAGATACTTAAGAAAGATTTTCCCTTCCTGGCAAGTTACAATCTTCAACCCAAAGGTATTACTCCCTCTCTTATTTCATTAGGGATTAGTTTTATGGTTATTGTAAAGATGCATTATAATCTATGTGAACAATAAATATCAATGAAACACAAGATTCCATATGAACAAGATGCTTATTTCATCATTTCAGTTTTACAATTGTGGCTTGCACAGTATTGCAACATTAATTCCTCCACTTGTAACAGCAATCTCTCCTGTAGAAAAGTATGGGGAAATACACATCATAGCATTCAAACTAGAAGGAGTATGTGGAAATAAAAGCGGAACAATTTATCCTGCACTAGAAACCTAATGTAACCTGTGCAGGGGCACTGAATCCACTTTTGGTTTTAGTCTGAATTTTATATGAGCTACCCAACAGGCTGAACCCAACCCCCAAAATAGGTCCATTGTGTTATAATAGTTCCTTTAATGTTTCAGACCAAAATACGGAGCAAATTCACCAATGCTGCAACACTGGAGTCATCCTCCTCCACTTTTGTAGGAATGTTATGTTCCAGGAGCAAAATATTTTAAAAAATAACTTTAGCACCTGTTATGAATAAAGACTTCATGTTACATGATGAAAAACCTACCAACCCTGATCTATATATCAGAGCCATGCCAAATCAAGGCAATGGATAACAAATATTGCCAACATTTTTGTTCTGAAAAATCTTAATTCATAGAATTTTTGCCTATCCAGCAGATTTTGTTAGTTTAGAAGATTTTCTGACTGCAATATAAAGAGTCTTAACAACAGGAAAGTGCCATGAGATTTGGCATCCTGATTTCCCTCCCACTGATCACTAAGAAAAACAAATCAAGGCAACTAATTGCAGTTATGCTTAGACAGACTTCATTGTATACAGCCAGCCGGGGATACCGCTTATCATCGACATGTTGAACATAGTAAATCCGAAAAAAGTGATGAGGAAGGAAACAGAAAACAATTACACATACAAAAACCACACTTTTCAGTTGGGCCCGAAACTCTTGATGTGACCAAACTGATCCTGATAGCTTTTTCACCAGTTTTACAAGCATGAAAACCTGCAAGCCCACCAAGGCGCACGTTAAAGTAATCATTACACCAATCAGAGCATAGTTCACTGCTTTCACTGCATCCTCCTTTAACTCTTTGTGAAAGTCAAAGCATTTGTTTTGATTGTATTCCCCAGTTTGACCATACCAAACGTACATGACTGGCACCACTGTCACTAAAGCCAGGAACCACACAGCTGCGCTAGTTGCCACAGCGTGTAAATTCCTATAGAATTCTATCTTATCCTTCCACTGAAAGAAAATAAGACACCTAATCAGTAAGACAATCATATAGAATAGAAAGGCAAGATACATGTGCAAATGTATCATTATGCTCACAAGTTTACAGAAGACTGGTTTAAAAATCCACTCATCCTTGATGTAGTAATACAGCCGAAAAGGTACAGTCACAAGAAAGAGACTGTGTATCACTACCAGGTTTATGGTTACTGTTGTGGTGACTGACAGTGCATTCATTTTCATTAGCAAAAATAACATTCTGATGACTCCACATATGCCTCCAAAGAATACTACTGTGTATATTGTGACCAAGACAGGATTCCAAATAGCATCGTAAGAGTCTATTAACTGAATTGATGTATTAAAAAGGGTTCCATTCTCTTTAGTCATGGTCCTAGAATCTTCTCTTGTTATGACCTGGGAAAAATAAAGGGGGAAAACATTTTCACAGAAGTGTCAAAACATAAATTAAAAGTATAACTATGGAACTTATTTTGCTTACTAGTCCAGAAAACACTGGAAATGACTAACCTCAACTAGTTCTAGGGCAAAAAGAGTGTATTCTGACCACTGCAATCTTTGGTTCTGGTTGTTCCCATCTTGAAATGCAACTACTTTCATTTTTTCTCCTTTTCCTCCTAAGCTTGACTTATTTTCAAGCATTGTAATGATTAGTCAGTGATATAAAGTCTATACATTTTATAAAGCCAGATGTTAAGTTGTAACCATGCTAGTTTTGCACAGGGTGTTCATGCTTAACTTTTTTTCTCGGTATAGTTACATTCCTGGATTGCTTTAGCAGCAACATAAAGCAAAAGCAAAGCAACGCATGCTGCTTATATGCTGCCTCATAGCGCTGCCCCATAGCACTTCAAGCACTCTCTGGGCAGTTTAAAAGTTAATTATGCAAGCTACACATTGCCCCCTCCCAGTGAGCTGGGTCCATATTTTACCGACCTCAGAAGGATAGAAGGCTGAGTCAACCTTGAGCCTGCTACCTGGGATTGAACCCCAGGTCGTGAGCACAGTCTAGGCTACAGTACAGCCGTTTAACCACTGCACCACGAGGCTTAACTGATGTTCAGACCTCAAACATATTGTTCCACCCCATCTCTATAGTGTAACCACCTTCAGATTGAAATAGATGTGAGGCAATTTTACCAGGATTTTATTTTCACTTTAAATAACAAGTGTGGAACAGGGGCTGACTTTCAACAGGAATGGATTGGATTCCATTCAGAAAATATAATGGATTTTGTCAAATAGTATAGAAGTTGCATTTGTTATTGGCATTGCCACTGGTGATGTACAGCCCAGTTCAATACATGGCTACTTGCAGGTAAGTCACAGTGAGTTCAATGGGGTTTACTCCTTGGTGAGTGTGCCCAAGATTGCAGCTGTAGTTTTATTTGGTCAGAGCCAGAGCTTGAAGGAAACTTTCATTTCCTGCTGTCTTAACTCTCTTGTTTCTTTTTAGTAGCTTTCAAAAGTTTAGCTAGAAAGTTCTTATTTTCAGGCAATTCACCTCCACATTTATACCACTTGCATTATGCTGGCATAACTAAACAAGAGGATTGGGGTCAGAGATAATTTAAACCACATCTGAAAACACACAACTGAGTGGTCCAAAGTCAGAAATATGTCATTTATTTATTATCAGGTAGGCATGATACAGCTTGATGTGTATAAGGTAGCAGGGGGCTGTAGAATCAAACAATCTAAAAACTATCCTGGTTTGATGTTGATGCCATAGGATAAAGTCCCAACACTCCCAAGGTTGCCAATATGAAAAATTAGCTTAAGTGTGATGTTGGTTATCACTTCAGGGGATGTAGATGGAGGTTGAACTTGCAAGTCTAATAGCTGAAGCACATATCATTGACTGAAATCCTATTGCTTAGCACAGTAAGTGGCAATTAGAATACCTAATTAAAATACCAAGCCTCCACTGATTCAGTGGACCTACTCTAGTTCCAACTTACTGTGCAAAGCAAAGGCATTTCAGCCTCTAAGGAATTCTCATTGTTGGAAAGAAGACACCACGGAGGTGATACATACCTTCTGTAGTATCCAATTTCAACCTTAGATGTTTCTGCTTCTTTGAGGTCCTTCATCTGTACATCCTTTATGGAGGCTTATAATAGCATAAAAATTGTTTTTCAGAAGCCTTCTTCAGCTTCAATGCTGTTTCCAGTTTTACTTCTTTGGCTCTAGCACAACCTGTTTTCAAACAAGGAGAACTGAAAAGTGTAGTTTCCTCCTGGCCAGAGGTTTCACCTGCAGTTACCAGGAGAAATATTAAATATTAGAACTGGATTGAAAATCAGGAAACAAAACAGCTTAAAATGTTACTGTCTAAAAATTAATCACAGAAGCCACATTTGCTTTCACCACAAATTGTATGCAAAATTACAACCATATTCAATATTTCCATATGTCAATAGTGTCAGTGAATTCACATTTTATATTTCCTCCATTCCCCTTCACAAGGTTTTCTTGTGCCTGAGCAGGGAGTGGAATTACAGTGATTAATACTTCTCCCAATGTCATGACTACCAGCCTGAGCACGAATCTGTATATACAGTGTGAACATTTGCAGTAGGAATCCTTTGAACATATGAAAACGTCCCTCCTATGCCTATTGCACTTCTTGTGTGAATACCAAGGGCAGGAATATCCGATACAGAAGTGAAGAAAGTTATATTTTGAGGACTGCAGCACACAGAATCCTGCACCTAACATGAGCACTGCTCATGTTGGGTGGGGGATTCTGAGGTTATCATGTCTACCTTACATTTCAAAATACTCCCTTTTATATATATATTGGACATCTCAAATTGAGTTTCCTTCCATGCTTCAGAGTATGTAGATTTTGGATGAGGGAAGAAGAACCACTGAGAAGGTATTGAGGAAGCTATTAATTGTCCTGATAATAGATGAAAGAGGATCGCAAGGGATGAAGTAGCAGACAGCCACAAAAAATGGCCCATTAACCTGTATAAATAGAAGTCAGCAGTACTAGTTTCTTTGAATCTCAGCATCCCCCTTAGAAGGGTAAAACATTGCCTCCCAATAGCTTCGTCCATGGCTGCCAACTCTGCTTTGGTGTGAGTATGGGATAGGGTTAGATCAGAATGGATTGTTTTCTAGTTTGTTCCTTCTTTTGAACTGTTCTCAATCTGTATTGTGTTTTGCTCCATTAGACCAAGAAATCCTTTTTTAGTAACTGTGTGGAACTTATACTTTTAACTTTTTGTAACTGCTTTATTCTTTTTCTTTTCTCTCTTTTTAGTATCATACGTATATACAATTTTTTCCAGTAATTGGTTGGATTTTGGGGTACAGAGGATTTTGTAATATTAAATGCACTGCTTTGCCTAACCAAGCTACTGAGGTTTGGGGATGGTGGCAGCATATTTTTCAGTTCAATTCCTTGGAGACACTGCCAGAACAGTACACTGGAATATTGGGAGCAGAAACGCGGTCCCAGCTGTTGGGCGTGACAGACCCTCCCTCACCCTTAACCAGTTCCTTGAATGTCTCTAAAGAAGGGTAGGGTGGCACCAGGCTGAGGTGGGCCCTGGGCAAAAATTAAAATGGGGGGCCCTTCCTCCTCCCTCCCTGTCCCTTCCCTCCCACCTAAAGAGGTCACACAACATGAACAATGTAATATAACATAAATAAGACTGACTTGCTTAGGTAATCTTGGTAGCAGTAAATAAGTGAATAATGCTTAGGCAGAGAAACAAACAACATAATAATGAAAAGAAAGTCTAGCTTATGAGGAAGGGGGTGAGGCAAGGAAAACCTAAAAGTGAACTTCGAGGCACTCTGCATGTGCACAGAGAAGAGGGAAAGTTGTGCCCATTGTATGCAGAACATGCCGAGGCTGCAATCCAAAGCAGGCCCCATGGGGGAGGGAGGGAGGGAGGCTGCCTGTTGTGTGGGGTCACAGGACTCTGGGCTCAGGCGTGGGAGGATGCGGAGGGCCACATGTGTTTTAAGGAACAGCCGCCAGCATCCAACTGAGGGTGCTAGCGGGAAGAGTGTCTCTGCGCCTAAGCAGAGTGCCCCATGAGCCCCAGCCAGCCTTCCTCCCCTCCCCTTCCTCACCTGATTTCTTTCAGGAGAGGTGGGTCTTGCTGAGCTGCTGGAACTCCAGAATGCCATTGGGGCAGCCCAGGGCAAAGACAGCCATGTGCTCCTCCACGGGCGCAGCGCCTTCAGGGCCCCAGAAGATGTCCAGGAGCAGGTCCTTGAGGTGCAGGAGGGCACCATTCTCCTCATCAGGAGGCAATGCCCAGCAGCACCTCTCACTGGCACACCACCTGCTTGTGCAGTGATGCCACCGAGCACAGGAAGAATATTAGTCACCCCAATGACACCGATGGCAGCTGCAGCCTGGCTTCTGGGGGAGTGGATTTGGGGGTTAAGGAAGGTTGCACTCCCACTGGAGGATCCCGGGGCTCTTCCCCAGATGCAGCAGTGGTAGCGGGGCTGTAGTGGTCCATCAGCATCAGGACATGGAGTGTGAAGGAGCTGAGCACTGTCTGTCTGTCTTGTCTAGCCCACAGGGGTTGCCTGCATGCGCGGCACCACCACCCCAGGGCTGGCCAACAGCTCCCAGCTGGCGGCGGCTGTTGCTGCTGCTGCTCTGGCCCCTCCATTCCCCTCTTCATGTGGGTCCCTACAGATAATGGGCCCTGGGCAAATGTCCACTTTGCCCTCTGGGTGGCACAGTAGCTATCACTGCAGTCTGACCCAGGTACTGTGACAGTCTTGTACCCAGTCCTTAGTTCTTTTTCCTAAGTTCAGGATTGTTTAAAATGGGTTTGATAACCTCTTCTTATAACCCACTGGATAAACAGTAAATGTCATCATTGTTATACCTTCGTCATCATGCCCAGATCCTCAATGTCTTTTTAAAGCTGAAATGCTTGCTGTTTTCTGCTTAGATTTGATGGCACATGGGGGGCACTGCCATTATCCACTGTAACAGCAGGCAAGCTAAAGTTCAAGTTGTTCAGTAGCACTAATAAGAACCAACAAGACAACTGCCAAGAGCCAGCTGCAATTATACTTCTTGTAAGTGAGGCTGATACATTGGGTGACTGCCTTGAGATGCATCATTCAATGACATAAGTAACAAACAAGTACAGAAAACTATCCTTTCCTGGGTGTAACTCAAAACTGCATCACCACAGAATGGTCCTCAAATATATTTAATTTTTTTCTTTCAGTTTCTACCTGCAATTGTTTTTCCCCTTCTTAAACCTCAAATAATTATCCTAAGGAAAACTTCCATAACAAACATGAAGAGTGGATACTTGAGGGGGAAGACATTTCCCTCAGGGGCTACATGTGCAATGGTGTGGTGGAAGCAAAGTTTCCCTGCTTTGATAACAGGGATGATGGCATCTTTTGCTAATCCTCCCTCATTCAGGTTTACTCTTGAGTTTAGCTACAATCCTCAAAATAGATGGGGGTTTGGATTTGCTCAATAACAAGGGCCCAAATCCAGTTGTTAAAACTATGCCAAACAAAGTGAATGAGGTCAGCAGCTGCAGCCTTTTACCACTAATTAAACATTTCCACACACACATACCCCAGGCCCAAGGTTTCCTAGGGACCCCTTTCATTCTGTGGAAACTTTGGGAGCCTCAGGAAGACTTTTTAATGTCAAAAAATTGCCATGGAGTTTTGGACATTAAAGGCTTCCTGCCCAACCCCACATCTTAAGAACTCCAAAGGCTTTCCCAGGATGGTAAAGGGATACATAGGAGGAAGGAGGACTGGAAATCTTTAATTAGCTATAATAGGCTGAAGTTGATGACATCATTAGCCATGCATTGCATAACTTTATGCAACTGAATTTTGGACACTATGTTGCTGTGAGTGACTGAATGGATAATTCAGAGCCATCAACTATACCAGCAATTTGATAGTGATGCCAATAGAAATGGCAAGATCTGATCTGTTGACTTCAAAAGCGTTTCTCTCTGATACTGGGAAAAGAAACTCCTGGAAAAATGTGTGTTACTCATTATGCCATTTCCCCCAGTTTACTATTCTATTATTACCACTAAGCTCCAAACTAAGGATGGGCATGAATTAAAATATGAATCAACAAATTCAACAAAAAATCCTAATTCATCTATTCGTATTTACATGAATCAATGTGGGTTTTTTTAGCAATTTTTGATTTGTCATTTGGCTAGAAAATGATGTTCCTAGAGACACCAAGAGGAGGTTCCTCTGACTCTTTTCTACAATCCCACAACGTTTGGTGAAGACTGGGTTTCAAATGTCTGGGTTATACACCAACAAAAATGAACACCCTCCAGGAAAGTTTTCCCCAGGCACATAGACACACCAAAATCACACAGACGCTTTCCATGATTCTCTTCTACAATCCCTCCAGGATTGGTGACTACTGAGTTTTCCCAGGCCAGCTGCTAAAGGGCACTTTCCTATTTCCCCAGGCCAGTGGCTAAAGGGCACTTTCCTGTGGGGATCCACTTTGTGGGTATATAACTTTGATGTATAAAACCAAATCTTCACTAAACATGGAGGGCTTGTAGAGGAAAATACATAGAAGCTTATCTGTGACTTTGGTGCCTCTAGGTGCATTGGGGGAATTTGGGGGGGGGCTTCCTTGTGGGTTTATAACTTGGACATCCAAAACCCACACTTCACCAAACTTGCATGGCTTGTAGAGGACAGTCAGGAGAAGCTTCCTTATAAATTTTGTGTCTCTCAGTGCTTGGAGACCATTTTATAGGTTTTTAAAGTAAAAATTCATTAAAGAAAAAATTCATAAATTCAGATTTGTCATCCTCGATGAATCACAAATCACAATTTTTCTGATTTGTATCCATCTGTACTCCAAACCCATGTCACTTACCCTGGAATAAATCTCAATGAATACAGAATAGCTTGCTTCTGAGTAAACATTTGTAACAAAAACAAGGGGTGGGGGTAACAAAAGGATTGTGACACCTTAAAGACTAATACGTACTCTATAAGAAAATCAGGCAAAATCCAAAGAAACAAAGCAAAACAAAATAAAGGAGACAAAAACATGTAGCATTTTAAATACTATTATATTTTAATATGAGCTTTTGTGGAAAAGTCCACTTCATCAGACATCTGGGAACAACATGAATTTTGATTCCATAATAAAATATAATAGTCTATGAGGTGCCACAGATTTTTGTCCTGTTTTGTTTTGTTTCTTTGGATTTTATCTGATGTGCTTGCACAGACTAACACAGCTA